CCGTGAGCACTTACAGATATCCATACGCTGTCCTTCAGGAATCAAGGTGTCAACCCATACATCCTGGAGAACCGCGCATCTCAACAAGTTCGTCGAGAACGCGGGGAGGTGGAGACCTGAGAGAGACCCGGAGTGGACTGCCGGACGCGCAACTACTGGGCCCCCAGTGGGGTCAGCCAGTGAGACTAGGACAGGTGCTGCGAGTGGTGTGACTGTGATGCAATCACGAAAGAAGCAACGTGATGTGCCTGAGTCAAGTGTGAAAGTGTGCAAAGCAACAGATGGCCACCGCGGGTGGCGATGGAAGACCATCCGGTTGCGAAATAGAGCGTGGCAGGAATTTTGGTACTATGATCCTTAGATTGCCCTACAGGATTTGTTGAAGCACCCTAAGCTGGCCGCTAAGTTGGTGTTTCATGCAGATCCTCAATACGTTGGAAATGTGAGGGTGTTTAGCACCCCAGAACCGGCCTTTGGTGGGAGAGGTTGCAAACCTTGGTGCACAAGGAGAATTCAAATTGTGTGGTGGTTGCTTTGATACTTGCGAGCGATGAAACGTATATGGATCATAGAGGGAAAGCGAAGGGGCATCCCGTGTATCTCACACTGAGAAACATTGATAAGGATGACAGGTGACAACCCTACGGTCACGTGCTTTTAGCACTTCTCCCTGAGTATAATGTGGTGGACAAAATGCAAGTCCATAATTACATCATGAGAGAAGTGCTGCAATCGCTCAAGACGGCTTCTTACACCGGCATTGACATGAAGAACGCAGCAGGCGAGAGCATCAACGTCTGGCCCTACTTGTATGCATATGTTTCGGACTACCCGGAGTCATGCAAGATCACTTGCACGAAGTCGTTAGGAACCATGTTCCCTTGTTCGATATGCAAGGTCAATAAGAAGCATTTGACAATGTTGCAGGATCGTATCGATGCTTGGATACCGTGCAAGCAAGATGCCATTGTGCGTGACATTCTGGAAGGTCGTGTCTTGCCCGATGCGGACGGAACCTTGTCCACACACCCAGTGCAGGTAACCATCGTTACGGTTTCTGTTTTGGTGCTATTCAATACGTATATGACCTGGTGTTACTAACACAATTGGGCTGGTTTTGACTTGTGCGGAGCTTCCTTTGCGGTTGGAGGTGGGAGTCCAACACAATTCTGAACCCGTACATTGCGGTGCTGCCCAATGTGATACACCAAGCGGATTTGGGCATTTTTGAGCACATTGTTGACTTCATTCGCGTGCATGTGAAGCTGTTGGTAGATAGGAAGAAACTGGACAGAATTCTAAGATACTACAAGAACATTAGGGGGGAAACATGCGGTTGTCATCGGGCCAGTACTTCGAAAAGGGGGCAAACTATCAGGCCTACGAGCACCGTTCTGTTATGCAGATACTTCCCTTCATTGTGAAGGGATTTATCACGCAGGAGCAGATGGACACACTCTTCATTGTGAGTGGTATCTCCAGTGCGCGCGGGCATCGGAGCATATCAAGACCACCCTCATTGAATTCAAGACGAAGGCTCACAGGTCAGATCTATAGTGCACTTTGCCTTTGAGTGTTTTCAGTTTTGTCCAAACCTAACGGCTACGTTTCTTTCCTTGATGCAGGATGTTACACAACCACAAGACCGTCTTCCTATACACATCAGATTCGTAAGTCACTACATACACATCAAAATGCATCTCATAAGTCACTCCATAGACTCTATTCGTAGGTCGGAGTTGCCCGAGCACTACTCTGCACAATTATACGAGCACCTGCACATATAGTATATTAACAACCGTTACAGGGCATCGAAAAAAAGTTCAGTCAGTAGCCACATCGTGGGCAGTGAACAGGCGCGCCTTTGTCTACAATACATCGCTCCACATCTCGAGAAAAGGAAGACGTATGATACAGCCATGGTGAAGGTACGTTGCAGTTGCTACTCTGTCGACTCCCAACACTGTAAAACTCTCATTGCATTGGCATTACGAGTTCGCCCTCTGTTGCCTTATGTGCATGCCCAACAGACAAACGAGCAGGTTCTGTCCAAAAGGAGCTGGACATTGCATGTGCCTAAAACACGTACCGCAGCTCCATACCCGCAGGTACCAGACCCGAAGCATGATGGCCCTTTGCAGGCCATAATCGGCGAGGACTTAGTGCGGCATTGGGTTGGGGGGGGGTCCGGATGTGACGGCATGGGGAATGTTATTTAAGAAGTACATGTACGTCTGGTGTCATTCTGATGTGGTTCTACAGCTTGTTCCAAGGCAACAAACTAACTCCCTTGCTTGTTGGTACCTATGCGGGTTCACTAGGAACTCGCCATGCCTGCCGCGGTTGATGCGCAATATGGCCGTTTGCCTCATCGCATTCGCGCCTTGCCAATACACCACAGCCAGCAAAGGGTTTCTGATGTGGCGGTAAAAGGTGAGGGCCCAGATGGAGCTGAGGAGTGGTTTTGGAAGACCCTCTTGTTGCTTCATGCAAACGTCAAGGGTACAACAAAAAACTTTGCGTTTGTCAAGTACTACCGGGAACAGGCAAAGCATAAGATGCAGCTACCAAGTGCAAAGCATCACACTAGGAAGCAACTCAGTAGAGGCACGGGGTAATCAGTATTGATAGCATCAAGCGTGCCATTCAGTTGGTGCGCCCAGAGAATGACGCAAACATGTGGTTGGTTAATAGGTTTGCATGGTGACTCTAAGGTTACCATGCTTGATCCGATGCCTGGTGTGAGTGTAGGTATCATGTGCAGCTGTGCCATAACTCAATAATAAGTCTCTACCAAACCTAGATGCTTGTTGATCCCTTTAGTAATATGCCCCTCGTCTCCCTCTAACACTTGTAATCGAAGTGTTCAAAAACTTTGTTATTGACTCACCGTTGTTGCAAGGACGGTGGATAAATGCGACACCCAATTCAGGTGGGTGTACTGACACAACGGTGCGCATTGTGTCACGTACCTGTATCTACCGACACTGCTGGCGATGGTGCGTTGGATTCTTCTGGTGCAATTGTGGCTTTGCGGCAGTAAGGGATTGGCTGTGGTGGTGATACAGAGCAACATCTGATGCGCTTGGCCACCTGCTTTGCTGTTTTACCTTATGCGTTGGCAACATGTCGAGCCACAACGCGGGGCATTTGGCTGTCGTGAAACATTCTAGACCGTTCCTTGCAACAGATCACATCGCACATGTGAGACCTTATCGCATCTGGAGTCCAGATATGCTCGAAAAAGCACTCCCACACCGACACAGTTACAGATGTGACTGTAGGGCACGAAGGTAAAAAACAAACAAACAAACAAACAAACAAACAAACAAACAAATAAACCAATGTGCGATCATGGTGACCGCGTCATCACGGGCGTCACGAGCTACTTGGAAAATTACGTCACAGTATCGGTTGTACGCTATCATGTTAATTCTTGTGGTCGTAACCGTTTCGATTTTTTTTTTGTCCATGCTCCCCGAAATTCATTTCCAAAGTTGCTTTATGGTTTAGTGTCCTTTTTAACCATTGCAACATGCATACATGTTTTGTGTAGAACGTGATGCGATCCGACACCTGCAAAGATGGCGTATTTTAAAACATGTATGCAGGAACTTTAGTCGGATATGCAGGGCTGTGTGAGGTATAGCCAAAGAAAAAGCATCGGGTAGTGCAAAGGGAAGATTGGCAATTCTGAAATGATCCACTCTCAAAGAAAAAACCAAATTAGGTTACCATGGTGATAAACTGATTTCAGAAACTAGGTGTCGAACCAAATTTACTCCACAAGGTCATGTAAACTCGTCGTCAACCATCAGTTTCCGCCATACCATGGCAGAAAACACGGGAAACATCAGTTGGGCAGGCAGCAGCAAAAGAGTTTCAGCCGAGCCAGCAGGGGTCACCTTACCCCACCCTCTTTCCCATCTCAATCTGCTTGATCCCGTGCTCTTTCACAGCTAGATGACGATGTGTTAACTCAAGAAATTAAGAGGCGTAAGGTTCTAGCTAAAGCGGCTGCCAGTAAGAAAGATGCTGTCAACGGCCTTCACGGTATTCCGCCGGCTGCTCAGGCACAAGCACTAGTCTGTCAGGGCAGCCGCCAGAGCAAGCGTGATGGCGCAGGGCACTGTCGTCCAAATGCAATGAATGGCAGCAACATTCCCCCTGGCGCAACCTCATCTGCACCTGGTTCTGCCGACGCACCTTCCTCTTCTTAGAGACGAAGGACGAGTCAAGAACGTATAGGGGGCGAAATATCACAAAATCGTTGGCTTAGAATTGTCTCAAACTCGAATATGTCGTAGCCCTCAATCAAGGCTATCTTTCCCAATTTGAATTGTACCAAAGATGGAGTATAACTCGAGTTATGAATTTCGGCGCACTGGGGGGGTATGCTGCCATGGAAACTTAATTTAATCACAATTGTCTCACAAGTGCCACAAAGAGAGTTGGAGTACCAACAAACCAGGTAGGAGGGAAGAAAGAGGAGGACGAGAGGGAAGGTCCCCAAGGAGTCCCCAACCAAGATAACCCATAGTCACACCAAATCCCTTCCCTATAGGCACCCCAACTTTGACCTTTGTCACTTTCCCAACCTCCACAATCCACCTCACCCAAGTTGGCCACACTTGCCAACCCAATTTTGGTTTTATCCCAACTACTTGGCAGCATCTACAATGATGAGGATGAATTTTCCAACCCCCAAAAGTCTGTACCCCATATTAAGTGTCACTTGGCAAACACCCGAAGTCGTCGCTACAAAAAAAAAAAAGCATACGAACTTCGGAAGTTTGTAAATTTCTCGCTCTTACTCCAATCGCGACGATTCTTGGTTCGTCGGAAAGCTCTTGAGCAGAGCAGTCACTTGTATATCTGTTCAAGCCAAATAACGTTTGCACACACTCAGAAATTCCAAACCATGCCAAACACAAATTCCTGCACACGCTCATACCACGCATTCACCGTAGGAAGATAAGATGGGAGGCAGACAGACATGAATGCATATGATTGCATCACCCAACAGATCTGCACCTGGTTCATCCGACGCACCCTCCTCTGCACCTGGTTCCGCCGTTGCACCCTCCTCTGCACCTGGTTCATCCGACGCACCCTCCTCTGCACCTGGTTCCGCCGTCGCACCCTCTGCGTCTGGTTCCGCCGGTGCACCCTCTCCGCCTGGTTCCGGTGGCGCACCCTCTGCGCCTGGTTCCGCTGGCGCAACCTCCACTGCTGAACCCGGAGTCGCAATCTCGGCTCTAGTGGCAGCCGCACCTGCCGATATTCACCCCACCGCTCCTGACACTGGCGGCGTAGGCTGCAGTGCACTGTCAGAACCCGCTACTCGAGCTCTCCCCGCATCTTCATCTGCTCCCAATGTGTACGTCTCGGGTCCGATGATGGCAGAAGTCATCAAGGCGGTTGAAGAGGGAGGCGCGGATCCTTTCCTTGCTTACGGCATCGAAACAGGAAGCGACGACGATGAGATGAACGACGACGAGGCAGAAGATGCTGTCGGTGCCCAAGCGGGGGATGATGCCGATTTGCGCACAGCGGAGCTTCGTGCAGCTGAGTTATGCGCGGGGGAGGTGCGCGTAGCAGAGTTGCACGATGCGGAGGTGCACAAGGCGGAGCTGTGCGCGGCTGAGGTGCGCGCTGTGGAGTTGCGTGCGCCGGATGAGCGAGTTGCGGAAGTGCGTGCATCAGAGGTGTACATAGCAGAATTGCACCACGGGAATGATCTGGCAGCAGCTCCAAGGCGTGAACGGTTGCTAGCTAACCCTGGTAAATCATTGACAAACCCCTCTCTACCTTGCCTCTCCATACCCCTACTCACCCCTTACACCTCTTCCCCATGTCCGATGGTTTTTTTACACACATTCCTGATTGGGCTTTTTTGTTTCCACCATGTACCGTCGCCATGCTATTGCTGTAACTGAACATAGCATTCTCTTTTCTCCACCTTCTCTGCGTGTTTGTTTATACCCCGTGTTTGTCCAATAGTTGCTGGTGCGCGCCATTTCAGGGAAGCTAGTCAACTTGAAGCTAAATTTCATGAACTTCAGAACATGGTTTCAACACTTACCGCTCAGTTGCAGGAGGCAAGGGCCGCGATCAAGAGGGTGGAGGCAGAACGCGATCAACAAGGCTCAGCTAGAGTCGCTGCAGCGCCAGCTTTCTGCGGAGGTCGCTGGAACGAGTGTGGACGAAGATGTTCGGGACCCTTCTGACCCGCAAGTCAGAATGGAAAACGTCCACAATGACTTCTTGGGCAACCCGATCATTCCGTCCTCTCTGACGGATTGCGACACATTCAATGTAAGTGATTTACGATGTGAATCGTGTACATCTTGTTCTTCGTTTTCTGTATCATTTGTTATAACTGTTATTACCCCGCCCCCCTACCCCTACCCTCCCGTCCAGCCCTCGCCCCTTACCCACCTTACTTTTGTCTGATTTCCTATATTAAAGCATTCCGTAGGTCTTGTGCCTAAATGCAACCCTCTGTCAATTTGCTTCTATGTTTTTACTTGGCAGGATGTGATGGGCAAAACCTACGATTGGCTCATCACTGCTTCCCCTGCAGGAGACATGGAGTTCTACCCCTTGTGGGAAGAATTCCAGCCGCATCACGTGTGCAAGTACGTAGCTGAGGGGACAACTCAAGACCAGTACTACCTCTTTATGGGTGGGAACAGCAAGCGCGTGGAACGGGCTCTGGCGTTGATTGGCACCAAACGTGCCAATATGAACAAGCCAATCAAGTTGTGGGCGTGGGGCGCTGGCGGGTACATTGACAAGGAGAAGTGGCACCTCCTAAAGATTGGAGGCATTACTCCAACGAAAGCACACGATGCTGTGGAGTGAGTGGCACATTTTAAACATCATGAGTTTTATGATTTTTCCCTGTCAGCATGGCATGTTTTTGCTCTTGTACACTGCTCGTGATCTAACTGCCGTTTCTCACTCTCTCTGTCTGCAGCTAGGTATGGCTATGATTGGCACTGCAATGCTCAGGGCCATCCTTTCGCGAACGCTGGATTTGAACTGGCAGTCAAGAAGGCGTTTGTCAGAGTCAGGTGCAACATGTTCTGTCTCAAAATTTAAGCGGTCGGCTATCTCTGCAACGTGGTAAGATGTTGAGATTGCTTTTCTTTATGTTAATACTGCTTGCTGCACTGCTCTGTTTCTAAATACCAATGAGCTGTTAGATGGCACGTAGAATGGTGTTAGAATAGTAGCTAGAGAGAGCCTTAGGGTTTGGTGGGAGAGAGTGTTGGCCAAGCAAAGAAAAGGGGGTTCACTATAGGCTCGAGGGTACAAATAGGAGACAAAGGAGGTGCACCACCAATACAAAGAGTTTATAACTACACTAAAGCTACAGCTACAGGCAGGTACATAAATATATATAAATATATATTCTAACACTCCCCCATAACTGCCTGCAGCAGGAGCTTGTGCAGCAACAACTCCTGGATGGGTACACCACGAACAGAGAAAGCAGCAACAGGAGGCAAGTGCAATGACAACCAGTGCAGTGGTGGCAGAGACAGCTGCAGCAAGCCCTGAGGCAAGAAAGAGAGAACGAAGACGATGTGCTGTGGCGCGCTTAGTTTGCAGCTCAACAGCAAAGAAGACGAACGAAGACGATGTGCTGTGGCGCGCTTAGTTTGCAGCTCAACAGCAAAGAAGACGAACGAAGAGAGAGAAGCGTCAGGGGCTGCAGAAGTAGGTGCCACATAGCAGTGGACGGCAGCTGCAGATGCGTGGCTACTGGTTCCACCACTCTCTCTTACCCTCCCTTAGCATCTCTCATCCCCCCCCCCCCCCCCCCTCTCCCCGACAGCAACAAGTGCTGCAGGGAGAGAGTAAGAGGGAAGGAGAGTGGGGGAGGGACGAGCTACTGGTGGTTCACACCCTCCGCCCCCAGAACTCCCGTCCCCCAGAAAAAATAGGTCCTTAGACCGTTTTACAGCTCTGATACCATGTTAGAATAGTAGCTAGAGAGAGCCTTAGGGTTTGGTGGGAGAGAGTGTTGGCCAAGCAAAGAAAAGGGGGTTCACTATAGGCTCGAGGGTACAAATAGGAGACAAAGGAGGTGCACCACCAATACAAAGAGTTTATAACTACACTAAAGCTACAGCTACAGGCAGGTACATAAATATATATAAATATATATTCTAACAAATGGCTCTTGGAGAATCACAAGGGCAAGGGCCATGTTTCCCTGGACAACAACGAGACGAAAAACCGCAACAACGTCCATGCCAGGACGAATTGTCGTTGCAGCATGGATATAGCATTGTAAAATATCTCATAATTAACAACATCGATTAAGACATAAACGCTAGTTTCATCATGACGTCCGTTGCTCCGGTAACCCTATTGCTTATATCATCACAACATTTCCGAAACAGCTCGTTGCAATGCTATTTACCACCATTCACTGCCTCAAACTTGCCTGTTCAGTATGTTCACATGGCCATGCGAGGCTCAAACCTCAACCGAACGTCATCTACTTCACTATATGTAGGACGACCAAAACCTGTAAACATCCATCGTTGGTGCTTTGCAAACCACCACACGATGGTACCCACTCTCGCACCCTAAAATGGTTGTCAATCGTCGTTGACAGCTCCGCCAGTTTTGGGTAGTCCTTTACATCGTAAACCGGGCACTGGGTACACGACTGTACACTCCCGCATTCCTCCACCCCCTCGACAGTCAAACACCACAAACTGGCCCCACATTTTCAGAAGTCCTCGCTGTTACAGGAAACGTGCAAGATTGTGTACATGGAAATTGGAAAATACCGTTGATCTGCTCATGGCGCTTCTTCGACTCCCAGTTGCTACTTTGCTGAAAGTGTCAAGGAGAACGGAAAGTTGACAACGAAACATGTTAGGATCTTCAACATCTTCTCCGGCACGGAGCACATGGAGCAGTCCTACATGCAGGTGGATAAGGAGATCGTCTTGAACCCCTCACCCACTCAAGTGTTTGTACAGCTGCAGCTGCTTGGTTTCCAAGAGGAGTATCTCACATATCAGACTACAGATCACTGGCAATATCTCTTGTTCCGGGTGCCAGCTGTCCCAAATACAAAAGAATCATGTATAGCAAGGATAAGTGTAAGAGTACGACGGCTTATGCCAGCTATGCTTGCTTGCCTTTACTTTATTATGCTATTTCTAGCTTAGGTTTATTTTATGCATGCATGAATTGCTTGATTTCCTAGGCTAGGTGCTTTCATATATTTAACTATAGTTATAGCACCGAGCTAGGTTGCGTACACCAAATTCTGGGCTATTCGGTTGCCACCGAAATGCCTTTTGCCGAATTCGGGAAGGGTCTGTTCGGGACGCTTCGCGACCCTCGGAACCTTCGCGTAACACCTGGTTACTGGGCCTTGTGTCGAGCCTATATATAGCCTCGTGTTGTACCCAGGTGATTCATTCAATTCAAACTCTCTTTTCTGAGCTCGATCCTAGATCCTCACACTTGGTAATCACAGCCTGTTTACACGCGAGTTTTTTGACCGCTATGTCGTAACTTTTAAAACCGCGGGGGCGACGACGAAAGCGCCGATTTCGGGTACGTAAACCAGTTCCGCGCTATTTTTAAACGTCCAACTCGAACCGGTTTTCGAATCCTCCTCAGGTTAAGTGGCGAAAAAGTTGGAATTTCGACCGTCGGATCAAATCGAACATCAACGGCCCTGAGAATTTCGCCCCAAAAGGTTGGAATTTGGAGCGTCCGATCGATTTTGAGCTCAACGGCCGAGATCTGACGTGAATTTCGGTTAAGGGAGAATCACGCGTTTGACAGAAACAACGCTCGTCATTTCTACAGTCGATTCGACTCGCAGTCAGTCGACCAGCGCCTAGAATTTAATTATTTCTGTCGCAAATCTTCCTGTAAATCGCCAAATGGAGGAAAATGGCAATAATTCCGTACGAAATAATACGGAGTTACGCACCGACCTCGACCAGACGCGAGCGACACTTCAACGAATAGAGGAGCTCTTTGCAAACCAGTCGGCAGCCGCCACGGCAGCAGCGAACGTAGCAGCGAATGCAGCAGTGACGGCATCAGCAGCGGCGGCGACACTGACAGTTCACCTAGCAGTAGCGGCAGCGGCTACAGTGAATCTTGAGGCGGCATGTCCGAGGCTAACGGAGACGTTCAATCTGAATGCGAGGGACACCGACATCCGTTGATTCATTGCGACCCTCCAAATTTTCTTCGAGGCCGTTGGCTGTACGACCCCGACACACGATGTAATGCGGATTCGGCTCAAAGCAACACTGTTGCGAGGCCCGGCGCTCGAGTGGATTTACAACAGTAATGAGATCCGAGGCGAGGGGTCATGGACGTAGTTTCTGGCAGCGTTAATTCAACGTTTCGAACCGATCAATTCCAGCTACGTGGCAGCAGATTCATCGTCACAAACAGTACAGCAGCATAATACAGTACACGCAGCAGATGGAGAGCCTCTTCAACCGAATTACCGACCTGACCGAAGGGGAAAAAATCCAAGCGTATACTGAGGGGCTAAATATGGAGGTACGACGACAGGCGATCGCCGCGAACTACAGTAGCTACCGCGACATGGTGTGTGCAGCAGAGAGATTCGATGCGCTGACACGAGGTCAACCCGAGACACGACGCCACGTGCCGAAAAGGCCTTTCGACACGAAGCGATCGGCACCACCCACGACCGCCGACCCGATGGATATCAACAAGATCGACGCAAAGCAGCGGCCGACAAAATATGAGAAATGCGAATTTTGCGGCGCAGCGGGACATCGATTCTTGGCGTGTTGGAAAATGAAGAAGGCACGAGCTGAGCTGCAGGGAAACAACAGTGCGGCACCCCCAAAGTAAAAAAACGGACATCGCCAGTAGCCGCGGATCAACCTGATCACGAAAAGATCCGAAAAAAAAAAAAAGCAAAAAAAAAAAAAAACAAACAAAAAGGCGACGACGTGGCGACTTCGGAGCGGGCGAAAAAAGGAGGACATGATGGCGCGAATTTAAAACGTCACGACCAGCCGGCACCAGAGGAAATCGCCGAGACAAATGGGTCCTCCGCGAAACAAGACTCTGCACCGACCGGGAAACTCCAGCTAAACACCCACGAAAGTAATAATTTGTTAAAGTATTGTACAAAGATACTCTAACAAAGAACATTGCTTCTCGTGGTTTTCAAGCCTTTGAAAAATTCAGGGGAGATTTAGAGGCTAAGAAAAAGCCCTTAGAGATTATTCAGGTACCTGAGAAGTTGGGCAAACCACTCCGGAGCGTTGATAAGGGTCGAGCGTTCCGAGGAGTTAATATTCTCTTTCGCAGCACAGTGTTAAGGCTCCCGACTGCCCACAGGAGAAGCCTACACAGCTGCAACGGCTTAGGGGAAGGTTCCAGGCCAAGACGAAGCTGAATCGGCCTCGGATAAATCCTTCTAACCCTGCTCAGTTGAAAACTGATATGGAGTCAGCAGCTTCGAGCGCAGGACCTAGGGATGATCTATTCGACGTACCCTATGATCCTATAAGCGAGACCATCTACGGCTACTCGGAGCGGCAGCTGCCACTACTCCTCGAGGTGATCAGCAACAATGGTGGACGGTACGAAGCTTCCCATCCACGGCGAAACATCATTGCAGCTGCACATAGGGGCGCTGAGATGGAAGCCGATGCTGCCGATCACGAACATCAAGGGTTCAGGTCTCATCTTGGGGCGAGATTTCCTGAAGCAGTTCAACCCCGAGATCGATTGGGTCAACAGGAAAGACTTCATCTACAACAACGGGGAACGAGTGGAGCTACGAAGCTGTACGGATACAGAGGTGTTCCTAAAACGGCACT